CATAAAGGAGCATGGGTGGACAAGCTCCCTAAAGTCTTATGGGCCTATCGTATCACAGTCTGAACAGCGACCAACGAAACCCATTTTTCAATGGTGTATGGAGATGAAGCTGTTATCCCAGCTGAAGTCGGCGTCCCGAGCTTCCGAGTAGACAACTTCGATGAACAAAACAACGCCGAGCAAATGATGGCTGAACTCGACCTCGTGGAAGACAAGAGAAACAGGGCATATATCCGGACAGTTGCTCAGAACCAGGTAGTGCCAGGTACTACAAAAAAAGAGTGCACCCGAGAAGCTTCAAAGTTAAAAATATAGTCTTAAGGAAAGTTCTTGTCCATCAACCTAATCTCGGAGTGTTTGGCCCAAAATGGGAAGGGTAGTTCAAAAGAATCAGCATTGACCGACCAGGGACATACAAGATTGCAGACACAGAAGGAACAATGCTCGGACACCCATGGAATGTTGAGCACCTCAGAAAAATTTACCAATAGGATCAGCAGAACATTTTTTTTTTTTTTTTGTATTAGTATTTTAAGATCATCGTATTATAATAGACATATGGACAAAGAAGGGTCCAAACAAACTATATCGAAAGACATTTTTTGACTATTTTTTGTACTTGCTTAGCCATTCTTTCTTCATTACACTTTAAAAATATAACCGAATACGTAATATCTTGGGAAAAAAGCTGATGATGCATCCAAACAGAGGACCATTGAAGGTCCATAGCAGTCCAAATTGACCAAAGCTGGCGAGCACCGGCTCTTAGCCGAGACGTTTTAGACTGGGCAAAATTTCTTTAGAATCTATCCAAGTCCAGGGGGACTGAGGTGATCCGAATATAACAGACTACCAAGATTTCTTATCCCACCGAAAAAACCAAGATTTGTTATCCCAAAAAAAAAAAGAGAAAGAGAAGAAAATAACACTCTTATTATTAAAATTATAAGAAGGGGGTACAAGATCGGGCACCCCTAAGCTTGAGTACATCAAAACAAAAATTATTTTGCTTCCTCACCACTGACAAGAGGATTGTCCTCCTGAACCTGCTTGGCCGCGACATCCTGATTTTCAACGACCGAAGACATAATAGTTGATGATGCAGCCGAAGTAGGCACAGTCGGCGGCTCCACACCGAGAAAGGTTGACCAATCGGCCAAATCATAAGCAGCTAGGAAAGACCTCTTGATGGCTTCTTAGAGGTCTTTCATACCAACCGCATACTCTTGCAAGTACTCGGTGATCTTTTTGAACGCCTTAATTGCCAACGAGGCAGCCTTAGCTTCGAGGGTAAGGACAACCTCAACCATGTACTTGTTATGATCGTTCCTTGCGCGAGCAAGTGATTCCTTAGCCTTCCTCTTCTCTTCCTCGGCCTTCTTTGCCTTCTTGTTGGCCTCATCCAATTCCTTCTTCAGCCGACTTACCTTCTGCTCGGCATTTTTCTTCTCCTTCTTGGCTGCCTCAAGCTTGGTTTCCAAAGCATCTTGTTTCTCGATCTGCCGGTTGCAGTAGTTCTTGCCTTAGCTATAGGCAGTGGCCACCTCGGCTAAAGACTAAAAAAATAATTTCAAGTCAAGTTTTGCTTGGACACAATATAACGTGCTCCGAGGAAAGTTTCTACCCGGGCAAGATGATGGATGACCCCCTCCATACTCTAGATGTAGGATTTGTTCCTAGTTGCCGAGGAGAGGGTCTCATCTTCAGGAAACGTCGAGTCAAAGCGAGAGAGGACGGCACCCCGCATGCTGGCTCAAGTAGGAGCTCTCGATGGTACATGATCGACCACGATTAAGGCGGAAGGGTGATCCTTCTTGGACTTCTTCTTCTTAGCGGCCGGCTCATCGGGCAGCTGGTTGCCTTTCCTCTTACCGGGCTTGAGAGGTATGTCCTTGGTCTTTTTTGTGCATGCCTTATCGGTCTTTGGAGTCACAGCCCTTAGAATGGCCATCATCTCGTTAAACCGGTCCCGCGCGTTGTCGACCATCTCTGCAAAAAGATCGAGCCAAATCAGTAAATAGGGAGGAGCTAAACACAATGGATGAAAACCAAGAGGAACAGAACAACCTCGCCCGATCTGAAGAGGTTTGGTGGGGTGTAATGTCGCGATCACCTCGTCCAAGTCCTCATCGGCAACCTCGAGCCCCGATCTGGGGGAGGTAGCGCCAAATGAGTCCCTAAGGCTCGAAGTGGTCGGCACCTCCTCCTGACTTTCCGATCGAACAACTTGTGAGGACTGTCTACTTAACCCGGAAGTCCTCACCTGATAATGCACACTCAGTCAGGCAATTATCACTACGCCGACTGGCCGACCAGCTGGAATGTCATCCCTAGGAGCTGAAGATGTCGATATGCTCTTCCAGTTGTACTCCTCGAGGGTTTCCTTGGAGAGGAGCTTAGTGTAATGGTGATATGATTTCAGAACTTCTCTTATTATTGAAATCTTCGCGGTCTCGACCTTAGGGACGATCCGTCGACGAAGAACCAGTCGTACTTCCTGTATTTATCAAAGTCAGGCACCAGGTGTCCGTCGAAGCTCTGAAATTAGTACCACTTTTTCGCTTTGGACAGATTCTTCATCCGATAAATATTCTGGAAGGTCTCGAAAGGGATTTCCTCGGACAAGTATTTTTTCCATAAAATTCAACACTTGATCAGAGACCTATAGGCATTCAGGTTCAGCTGAGCTGTGCAGAATATTCTTAATTTTTGTTTCTCAAGGGTATTTATATGCTTAAATTTTGTAATTTGACTTATTTGTCTCTGAACTTTTTATAATTAGTAAGTTACCCACTAAATTTCTAATTTTAAAAATAAGCTTTTAATTTAATAAAATGTTGCAGAGTTGCCCAAAATTTAATGACAATTGTTAATGTTTGGACGAAAAATGTTTGCATCACATTATGTCTAATCTCGTTTGAAGAAAGAAGTTAAAATTTTAGATGATTACCGTGCACTAGGGCATGCCAACATTTTATTAAATTTATGAAGTAATGTGTTAAAATTAAAAGTTGAATGAGCAAGTCTCCAATTCAATCAAAGTGTACGTATAAAAGCACCAAAAACCCACTATGGAGAAGGAATTGTTCCTCATAGACAACTGAAAACTTAAATGAAAATCGATGATCTTCCTTCTTAGTACTGTTTTATTTCTCTTTCCATATCCGTTACATTTTCTGAAATCAACCTTGACTTTTGAGTTGGTTGGTAAACATTTCATCACAATTAATTTGCTCATATTCTCGATAGTTGGGCTCTCCGGTCGGACATTATGACGCCTATATACGGAGGACTTTCAAGTGAACTTAATCCTTGTTCCACTACTTGTTTCTTAGTGATCCTGAGCTTGTTTTCAAAGGTATTGGGTGCGTTTAGAATTGATTTCAAAATGTTTTTATTTTCTGTATGAAAATAGAAATGAAAACGTTTTCATTTTCATTTTGAAATTATTTCTTAAATGCGTTTGGTAGTTTTATTCAGAGATTGATTTCAGTTTTAAAAAAAACTGAAACTGCGTTTGGTGGTTTAATTTTTGAAAACATGTAATAATATTTAAAATAATAATATATTAAATAAATATATTAAATAAACATCATTATATAAGACAAAAACAGTTTCAGAAAAGAGATAGAGAAAAATGAAAAAAAAAAAATGAAATTCGTTTTCAAAAAATGAAAACGAGAAAATGAAAACACTTTTTTTTCGTTTTTAATTTTTCACAAAAGACAAAAACGGTTTTGTTTTTGTTTTTAAAAAATTTTTAGGCCAAACGCATTTTCTGTTTCCGTTTTCATTTTTTAGTCTTGAAAAACATGAAAAATGAAAATGAAAACGGAAACAAACAGGGCCATTGTGTTTTTCCTCGGTTTCAGACTTTGCGACTTGTTCATTTTTTTTATTTTTATTTTTATTTTTAAGGCAGTATGTAATGTAGTTCTTTTCCAAAAAAAAAAAAAAAGATAAAAGGCCTTGACTAAGAGTGAATGTTGTCACAATTTTTTAAGGAAAATCTTATGATCACTTAATTGTGCCAAACTTCTTGTTTAATTACATATTATCATGCAATTGACCTTAAATTCTACACTATCATCATATTTAAGCATTATTTGAACATATGCAATATATGTATCTGTATTTTATGATCATACCGCACATATTTCTTAGTTTAGCGTCAAAACTATATTCTATATTTGACAAATTGTGTTAAAAACCTTCCCTCCGGCCATGAGTTAAACAATTTGTGTTGAAAACATCTTTTTTGAAGGTTTTGACGTTTATTCGACGACAAAAGCTGGTCATTTTGGCATGCTTTCAACGTTTAAAAACCGACGTTGATAGGCGATGCATGTCGTACACTTTCCACCATTCTTTAGAAACGTGGTGGAAAGCATAATGTGTTGCAGTCGATAGGTGTAATATTTTTGAAAATATAAGATGAAATACAACATTCCCATAAAATATAAGAGAGGTTTTTGTATTTATACCTATATGTAGCAGTTATAACAATTTGCAAGACGTACTGAAAATTTTTGGTAGTACTCTTTCATCCTCAATCCTCTTAGACCAGTCTAGTAAATAAATGTATCAAAACACATCCAGAGTTGCACCTAGGAGTTGGAACAACCAATCCGCAGAGAAAAATAAGCTCACGAACTAAGAACCAATAAAAGATCATCCGTTAAACATTAATATGTATAATCCGTTTTATCGCAAGTCAATTATGTTAGGCCCCGTTCGTTTCGTTAATTCGAGTTTAGAATTCGAGTTTTGCTACAGTAAAAAGCTCTTACAAACAATCACATCTCAACTCGAATTAAAAACTTGAATCAACGAAACTCGAATTAAAAACTTGAATCAGCGAACCAAACGGTCCCGGGTGTGTGTATCTAAATATTCTTTACATGAAAGCTGTCCTATATTCCTTTTGTAATTATGAACCATGGATTGGAACAAGAGTAAAACTAAACTCAACTATCCACTGATCAGCACACTTTTGAGAATTAACAAATTAAGTAGAGCGGATGATAAACTTAATATGGCAAAACAATAAGAACATTATCTTATAATCTCATGGCATGTACAACTTGTTGCCACATTTGCACCTCCACGCTTCCGGGTAATACTCTGCCGTCACAGGCGTCCCCGGCGGCACCGGAACATGGACAGGATTGCACGGGGTACAGGTCCCGCACTTCCTCAAACACCGGGGCGGCGACGACCCTAGTCCGCCTAAATACCGCCTTGCCAAGCTCATCAAATTAGGCACCACTTCTTCTTTCACTTCATTAGACATTGCCATAGGCTTCTCTGATTCCTATACCACACATAATTTCACCAAAACTAGTACAATAACTTCAAATATATTGTGACATAATAGTAGCACAAATAACATCCTTGAATTTGAACTATTATATAATGTACAAGGAAATTGAACTTTTGGATTAGGCTTTAACGGTGTGCAGCTAATTAGAACCTAAACGATATCAAGTATGTCGTTTCTATTTCGGATATGGGCCGTGGTGGAACGACAGGTATCGTACTACTACAGTACCACTGGCCTGCCGTTTGATACCTAATCATGGAGGAGGACAGTTTCATGATGCAATCGGACGGCTCACAATGCAGGATTTCCCTGGACCGTTTTGGCCCGCCTCTCGTTTTGAGAAGCGTGGGGAAGGATAAAGCCTGCAGTCAATAATTCTCTCATGGCCTAACTCTTACAATGCCAGTCTCTACTCTCTATGACCTAATTTTTTTTTTTTTTTTGGTTTTTTGGCTGAAGAACTAGTATGTATTAACTTTGAAAAAGCTTATTTGATTGCACATAATTTGATACACTGATACTAGAAAAACAACTATATTAGAACTAAACTTACCTGAAAATATGTACCAGCTTTTGCAGACAACAGACACCTGTTATCTGCATTGGAAAGAGAGAAAACAAGAGTCATTAGAAAGATGATTAAACGGAGGTTAAGCAGAGTAAACACAAATTTGATGATTTTGTTTGATGGGTATTTTTCAACTTTTTGTTTTTTTTTTTCCCAATGAAAGACTTGGAAATAGAATTAAGGAAGAGAGAGATTGAGAAGGTAAATTTGCTCACCTGGGCATGTGGTTGTAAAGCTGGTAGTACTGCAGAAGAGTGCAGAAATTGAGAAGAAGAAGATGGAAATAGAGCAAAAAAGATGGTGTTTGTTGAAAAACCTTAATCCGTTTCTCTTCCACTCCATGAACAAGAAATCAGCATAACCGATCAGGAACCCAGAGAAGAGGTAATACTCAACTTCTGATATACATATACATATATGTTTATGTATGTAAAATGATAAAATCTAATCTGATTCTCCCTCTTCTTGAACCCGTCAGTAGACTAATTAACCTTTTGACTCGGAATAATGATCCACATATTCCATGCAACAGTATTCTAAAAACGTTACTAACAAATATACCTACATATATATATATATATCAGCTCTTATATATATCTCTGAGATCACAAACTTAAACCTTTCGTCTTTTTTTCCCTCTAGCAATCTCACTGGTTTTGCGAGTGGGAGCAGTTATGGACTTATGGTAAGGTGATATGTACGGCTAACAAAGATGGGCACTGTGGCAAAACAATAGAGAGAGAGAAGAAAAAGGAAGGTGAATCTATACGGATCGTCGTTTCCTAAGCTTTGCCATGTTTGGATCTTGGATTTTTTTGCAGGCTTTTTCCTCTCTGTCTTTCAACTACTCTCAAACCCAGAAATACAAAAAACAACCACTCCACTGCACTCTCTCTGCTATACTACACTATCTCATTCCCTCTTTTCTTAAAACCCAAAACACGCCTCCCTTTTTCCTTTTTTACTGTTGCTTACTTGTTCTATTTTTTTTTTAATATGAATGAAATATCGGGTCAGCTTACATATATATTTTTCTTTTTTAATGTAATTTTGATTAAATGTAACGTTTACAAATATGCATTATGATAGGGTGATATTGTTTACAATTTTTATTGAGACATGTATTTCAACGTCCTGAAAAACAACGTGTAAAGAGGAGAGGAGTGATATGAATGTTAAGAAGACTTTAATGGCCGTTTAGTTTGGTGAATTGAGTTGAGATGTGATTTTATGTGAGAATTTTTTATTGTAATAAAAAAGTTAAATATGACTGTTTCTGAGAATTTTTTACTGTAGCAAAACTCAAATTCTAAACTCAAAACGGTGCATGTGGAATATTTTGGTACTTGTATGATTAACATGAAGTAAATGGTAAATGAAGATGAGATCATTCTAAAGTGTATTTTTTTAATTGTGGTATCTAATAAACAAATTGATTTTGAGGAATCATAATGCAGGCATAATCCGGCCAGCTTTCAAGACTTTTTAGATGCCTGTGGAATATTTTAGTACTTGTATGATTAACATGTAATGGCAAGGTATACTAGTTCAATTTTTAAAAAAAGGTGTACTATACACTATACAGTTCAAAAATGACCCAAAATTTCTGTTTGAACCCTGTGACCTTTTGGGGAAAGTAAAAGGTACATTCTTCAAAAAAAAAAAAAAAAAAAAAAAAAAAAGGATGGGATGTCATGGCTAGTTGGGTACTGATCAAAATGGCTGGCCCTGGCCCCCTTTTTGGCCATTTCTTAGTGAAAGGCTTTAAGATATTCCAAAGGCAAGGAGGCGTGGACAAATTGTCCAAACAAGTGAGGGAAAACCCAAAATATTATTGTGCTTGTTTTGTGATAGGTTTATATAGTTGTTCCTTGTCTAGGACAGAAACAAATTTCGGATATACATAGCTCTCAGATGTTCCATTGTTTTTCATAGCCCAGATTATATTTAGAGATCATTTGAAAATTTTGTTCCTAATTCAAGCAAGAGGTTACACGCGTGCAATTTTATCCTGTGCAATTGAGTTGCCATCTTTTTGTAGTTATAGAGACATATTATATCGAGTAGTGATACGAATACCAACTTTATTTCCAACTATTTTGTACTAATTATTTGCGTGACATAGAGTTGTCATGTCATGATTTCGTTTGTAGATGCAGTTACTAATTTTTAGTTAGCGTAACAATCTTTTAAATAAATTAATATTAGAATTAGTGTCTCTAATATTATTTTATTATATATTAACGTGGAAAATACCTGAAAATAGATATATGTACTATATATTGTACAAGCTTTATTATTCTCCAAAATATTATGTAAATGTATTTATGTATCACGATGAGAATTGTATTAATTTTGGACAAGTTAATTAATTTACCTGAAAATGCACGAGACCAAATGTCAACAATCACAGTTTTCTCACATGATCTTCCACCTAAATGGCACTACAAAACGACTGCAACATAAAAAGTTAGACTGGCTAAATGTGACCATTTGCGGGGGGAAAAAAAAAAAAGTCACAACTTTTTATATGTGGAAATAAAAATTGCATTCTTCTCACTCGTGAAAGCATTATAAGATGGTAGGAGACAAGGTTATACGAGGGACCTCCATGTTTTACTTTCCCTAACAAGCAGGGTCTCAGTAGACAACGATCTCTATAGTCTATACACAACACGCAAGTCTCTTTGACCAAAATAACCCTTCATAATAGACCAGATGGATGAGTTGGGTAAGCAATTTGGATGCTTGTGCTTGTACGAAGTGAGAAGACGTTGAAAAGGAAAAGAAAAAACACAGCACCTAACAATGCAATGCACGTTTGGTTCTCATGCATGGTTTAGTTGTCTAAGGAAATGAATGGACATATCCGCGTGTGTGTGTGTGTGTGTGTATATATATATATATATATAGATGTAGACATGGATGTGAAAAGAAGGATAAGTCTCTATCTTGATCAACTTTGTTCATGAGCATTTGTTCTCGTGTGGAGTTTTAGGAGGGCTCCTCTAATTTCTTAAAGAAACGACAATACAGCCTCTGTTCCCCATATCATCCCTTAATCATATGAATTCCAACTTCAAATATATTTGATAGTGATCTCACGGGTGCATGTTTTGGAAACTATTCTAAATTATGATATGAAACTTATATTTGAACAAAGCTTACAGCTAGCAATGGCCCATGTATATTTGATCAGATCGTGAAAGTGTGTGTGTGTGTGTGTATATATGTGTGTGTATGTATGTATGCATAGCAAGAATATTGTCACGGGCTTTACAGTCCAATCTTGTCTTTCTTACTAGTTTCATTCTGAGTTATATGTATATATTATAATGCCTTTGCACGAGTTATATAACAAATGTAATAATTCTTTTAAAACCTTTGATAACACAAGAAAAATGTACTCAAATATGTATCGAAAAAATATTGGACCACTCAGATTATGTGGTCCATCATATATATATATATATATATATATATGTAGACAAAACCTGTCTGCGCTATATATATAGATATAAGTGGAAATTTGAAATTCTGATATAATAGACCAGGCTAGCTAGCTGTTTGACCATCAATTATATGCTTTAGAAATGGTATCCCAAAACTTGTTCCCATGTCCAAATTGTTCAACATTTTCATAACAAATGCCTTAATTAATTAGGTGTAAATCATATTAGGCATATGTATACACAATTAATTAATTAATTAATTAACTGGACAAGGAAAACTCTACGGGCTGCAGGATAATTGATAGGAGTTTGTACTTCGTAGAAATATTAAACTTGGGCAAAAATAAATGTACTTGCTGTCTAGTACGTTGTTTTAAATGTAGAAAATTTGGTGTTGGATCATAAATTTGCGAGTAATCCCTTTTCGTTTCAGTCGCATATCTCTATCTTTAATATTAGTCATCTGCATGCATGCGTCTCTCTCTTTTCATATATATACGTGTATATATAAATTGACATTTTATATAGGGTTGCTAAGAAAATCTTACATTTTATATTCATGCATCAAGTTATTAATTCTATATCTTAGATAAACAAAAATATTGAAATTTGTTATGATATTTTTTTCCTCTCTTATTGGCGATCAAAACCAGCAAAATGAAAAAGACTAGTATACTTGTGGCATGTGGCCTTACCAATATGAAGCTATCTCATTTTGTACAAGCGCTTGTCATCAAGAGATTATACGGGTATAGTTGATGTGGAATCAAGAATTTATGCGAATACGAAAGCCATGAAATATAAATTAGGTAATACTATTCCTTGATCATTAATAAAAGAAAAAAAAATCCATGTATTGTTGTTTTAACTTGGTAATTTTTAGGCTAGCCCTGTTTTTGGTAATTGTCTTATTGATGTGCTAAGCCCACTAAACTACCAGTGATTTCATATTAGTTAAACTGCTGTTTCTCTCAATTTACGGCTTTGATTTTTATGTTTCTAATTTAAGATAAAAATAGAAAGAAAAAATTCATCGAGCGTTAACTCCATCTGCGATATGAAGCTGATTTTGTTTTCTTATCAATTCTTTCATCTTTTTTTTTTTTTACTTTTTTTAATTTTTAAATTACCGTTGCATTGAAATGCCAATTTTAACTTAATCCAGAAGTTGCTCAAAGATATAAATTATGTATTGGAATTCCTAGAGCGTACAGTCTAATTAACTCCGCCATGTTTTCAATCCTTCATTCTTATTTGTCCACCATCTCGTGTTGGTTTCCTTAACTTGATATCATATATGTATAATCTCTCTGTATCTATCCTCAATCCATTAGTATTTTGATAAGCAAGAAATTGTATTAATGACATTCATTTTCTTTGTGTTTGTATTGTACAGAGTAGTTAACAAATCACTGGAAAACATCTCTGTTGTTCTTGGTTTTGAGTGGCCATTCACATAAGGTGAAGTTCGACAGAAGAGAATTGAGTTTAACAAGTTCCACTCAAGCAGTCTATTAACAAATGATGAGATTGCTGCTATTCCAAAAACCATAAGAATTAAGAACCTATTCATGTAACTATCTTGTCCACCATGACTCTTGGCGTTTAGTGATTACAAATACTCAATCACTTTTAATTACAGAGATCGTAAAAAGGTTCTTAAGCTTAAACGTTTTAATGTGCATGATCCTCTATTAGAGGCAAGCACAAAATATACTAATTAAGTGGAGAGCTATTATAACATAGAGGAAGCAACTTAGAATTTCAGAAAAGAAGATCAGTGATTAGAAACTATTATTAAGAAAACATAATATTATTTTTAGAAAATGTGTACAAGGTTCTCTGCCTCTAGCAGGTCGGGAGCTTTGTCTTTATATAGCTGAAGTTGAGTCCCAAACTTTTATAAGATAAGATTCTTATCTAAAAAAAGACAGACATCATTATTACAAGATAAAGCCGACAAGATAAGGTGTAAATATTGTAAATGAGTTGTATTTTGTTTCCAATATTTCATGTTGTAAATCTTATATCATCATGATTCTACAATATAATGCGAGTTTTTAGACTTATACTGCTATCAATGCATACTCTTGAAATATTTAAAGGTCTATTTAGTTCGTTAATTCGAGTTAAAATGTGATTTTATGTGAGAATTTTTTTATTATAGCAAAAAAGTTAGATGTGACTCTTTCTTAGAACTTTTTATTATAGCAAGACTCAAATAGGTGAAATGAACGTGGCTTAAGTTATTTTTTTTTCTTTTTCTAGCAAAAAAAGTAAAATTTTTCTTTTATTATTCTTTTTACATGTTGTTGTTCATATTCTGCATTATAAAAATTTCAATTACAATTCAGTGTGTGCATCGCACATGCCAAAACTAGTATTCTAAATGTGTCAAATCAAAATAGCTTTTTTCTAACCTCTAATATTTTTATTGAAATAATGTTTTTCAAATATTCCTCTATTTAAATAAATTTCTTGCAATATTTTAATAGTCATTTAGTTCGCTGATTCGAGTTTTTAATTTGAGTTGAAATGTGATTTTATGTGAGAGCTTTTTACTGTAGTAAAAAAGTTAGATGTGATTGTTTCTGAGAGCCTTTTACTGTAGTAAAACTCAAATCGGTAAAATGAACGGAGCTAGATACTCATTTTTCAATAATGACCTTTATAAATGCTGAATTTTACTTATTTTTTTACTTGTAACCTTACTAAGTACTATCTTCTCATATGTACTGTTAAATTTGTTTTTCTCTAATGTTTCTCCAACGACTATAATTTGAAATATTCTTGAACTAAAATTAAATAAATAATTTTTTTTTAAATTTCAATTTTTGTTTTTTTTGGGCTTTTGATTTCTCGATTTTTTAAGTTTCGAAATGTGTTTGTTAAATATTTTTTAAAATTATAATATTTTTAATAATACTTAATGCCCTATTAATCTTAATGAGGATTGTATTTGGTTTTTGAAAATTTGTCGTATGAGGGATTGTTTTTGTATTGGTTTTAATATTTTAGGAGATACTTTTATATTTATAGTAAGGTAAAAAGAGAAAAATTGGGATTTTAGAAGAATATATAAATATTTAGAAAAGGTTTTCTAAACTCATTCTCTTTGAGTTAATGTACGTTCGTTTTTACATTACATCCAAGTTATAGTAATAGTTTTTAGTTTTTTAAGCTTTAAATGTTATTTGTTTACTTTTTTCCAGTCACACTATTTTTTGTTGTTGTCATTTTTATCTATATCAGAAGCTTTTCTGGCTCCTAAAAACAACAACTAACATATTAAGGCATATATAGATTTTTTTTATGGATTACATTTTACAAACCTTATTAGGAATTATAAATATAACTTTAGAAAATTTTTTTATTATTAACTTTAAGTGAAAATAACAAATGAGTATTTAGGTGATGTTTGGTAGATGTATTCGTTCCCTGATTCGAATCATGGTTCGTAGTTCGCTACAGTATTTTCTCTCACAAAAAATACACGTAAATCGAAAATGATTCGAGGATGTTTGGTAGAGGAATTCGTTCCCTGATTCGAATAATGATTCATGGTTCGCTACAGTATTTTCTCTCATAAAAAATTCACGTAAATAAAAAATAGTTCAAATCACATACTTTGAATCCTCCAACCAAACGTCCCCATTTCACTTTCTTTTTTAAACTTTATTTTTTTTCATTACTTGATTAAAAGAGAATACTAAATTAAAAAATAACCCATTTAAAATTTAATACTAAATTAAAAAATAAACCATTTAAAATTTAATTATACACGTTCTAACTAGTGTTTACTTAAATTTGACTTCACGGCTTCTTGGTTTGAAAATTTGGGCAACGACTGTTTATGAGTGTTAAACTTTGCAGAGAGAATGGCAGCCTTTGCCAAGAAAAAACAATTGAAAAAGCAAGAAAGAGGCAGAACAAAACAGCCTTTTTGGATCTTTTTACTTGTTTCATATATATATATATATGTATATATATTTGATAAAAAAGCCTTTACGTTACTTGTTTAATTAAGACATCATTTATTTTATTAATTTAAATTTAAAATTTAAATTTAAATTTTAAATTTTATTATAGTAAAAAAATTTTAAAATTAATTTAATTTAATTTTTTTATTACAGTAAAAAATTTCATATAAAATTATATTTTAATTCGAATTAAAAACTCTAATAAATAAATTAAATTTAAATTAAAAATTTAAATTAACAAACTAAACGACTCCAAATTGAGAGCATCTTACTAACCAGCACTTCAATATAAAGCGTTCAATAACATATATAGATATATATATATATATAATATAAAAAGGCTCGATATTTTTTTTTTAGTAATTCAGTAGTTAAAAAAAAAGCGGGTGAACTATGCAAGTTTGGTTGAGCATTCAAATTGATTTTTTTTCCCCTGAATATCAAACTTCATTAAGCTAAACGACAAGGAAAAGTTCAAGTGAATTAAACTCCATCAATTGAATTAAATCAAATCCATCACATCCAAAAACTACTTTTATTATTAGAAAAAACGACTTTTATTAAAAAAATCTAAATATTATTCTCTTTTTATATATCTATTAATCTTATGTTTTGTTCAATCTTCATCTTTTAACATTGGCTTCCTCTCACACACTTGACACTAAAAACGTAAACAAATACCGAAAACGTTAAAATTAAGATTAAGGTCCCTACACCGATTTAAATTTATAATTTACGTTTTATTATAATAAAAAGTTTTCAAAAATAGTTATATTTAACTTTTTTATTACAATAAAAAACTCATATAAAGTCACGTCTCAACTCAAATTAAAAACTCGAATCAGCGAACTAAACGGGTCATAAATTCATTTTAAGACTTAGTTCCTTTTTTACTTGAACTTTTGGCAGCCTAGATTAATTTTCCATGAGAAGCAAATATTGTTTTTATTTTTATTTTTTATTTTTGCAATTATTTAAGAATTGCATATTCTTTGTGGGTTGGGCTTTGGAAGATTTTGGCCGCTCACATCTGGTTGTCGTTTGGGTTAGGTTCCCCCTCGAGAGTTGCATTGTAGTATGTCTGGTGTATACACTGCAAAGGCGTCGTGGAGAAACCCAATTCTTGGGCCCATCATTCAGAACGCTGTCGTTTACGATCTGGTTCCACACAACCGAACAACGCTTGGACGGCTGAGATTCAATCAAGACAGCCCAAAAGGCAATCAAAGTGTGGCCCCATTTAAGTGCCTTTGGGATGCGTGACTTTCTCTGAGAAGTTTACGGAAACTCGCGTGCGGACATTTTCATTTTTCGGAATAATGAAAAAAAAGAATACTCCTTTATTTATTTTTCCTTTTTCCAAAAGCTTTTGGTAATTCCGAGCCATTTTTATAATTTTCAAACAATTGTTATAAATTCGTTGTAATTGAAGTCTAATTAAAAACTTCGTTAATTTTATCTCTGAGATTCGGTCACATGTGCCTCACATGACCCTTTAATGAGGGTAGAGGTGTCTTCTTAACTTTCATATATATTATGTTGTTTTTTAAAAAAAAAAAAACTTAATTTAAGTTTTTTTTTATTAAAAAAAACATAATAGTAAAATTTATAGAAATGAAAAAGACACCCCTATCCTCATTAACGAGTCACGTGAGGCGCACTCGACTGAATCTCAGAGGAAAAATTAACAGAGTTTTTAATTGAACCTCAATTGCAATGAATTTGCAACGTTAGGGACCCAATTAAAAAAAAAGTTTAGGGACGACATTGCAAATTCTGAAAAGTTAAGGAAGAGGATTCCATGTAAAAAAAAAAAAAAAAACCTTGGGTGCGTTTGGAATTGGTTCCAAAATGATTTTGTTTTCTGTTTAAAAATAGAAATGAAAACGTTTTCGTTTTCATTTTGGAATTATTTCTCAAACTGCGTTTGGTAGTTTTATTCAGAGATTGATTTCAGTTTTAAAAAAAATTAAAACTACGTTTGGTGGTTTAATTTTTAAAAACATGTAATAATATTTAAAATAATAATATATTAAATAAACATGATTATATATGTATATATATATATATACACACATGAACCAGAGGAAATGGGAAGAAGAGTGGACGCAGTCGAAGAAGAGCGGCGGCGACGGTGGAGGGG